TCAAATATTGGAAGACTGCTCTCCTGTCTCCCCTGGTCCTTCTCTTCACTAGACTAGCCAGGCCCAGTTCCTGCAACCATTCTTCATATGTTTTAGTCTCCAGACTACTCTCTCATCTCCGTGGCTCTTCTCTGAACTCTGTCTAGAGTCTCAACATCTTTTTCACAGTGTGGGGACCAAAACCAGATGCATCATTCTTCCTCGATCTTCAAAGAAATCAGAGCCATAAGAGGGCAACTTTAATTAACTAGAAAACCCCTCCAGTGTCGTCGGTAGTTTTCAGTGGATCGAGGATGTAGTGTTAATAAAGCTACCTTACTAACGACAGGTGTAATTTCCCAGATTAAAGGAAAGCTCACGCAAGTGACAAACAACCAGGCAGCGTAAAGCGTCACTCTTATTGGCATTTTCAAATATATCACTTTTTTTCTGTTTGCAGACGCTCAGGGTGCAAAACCCTTATTGTAATAAGATTAACATACCAATATTATCAGAAGCAGCAGGGTGTTTTAGAATGAATATTAACTGCAAACATTATGGTTTGGCATTGGAATAGCTAATTAAGCCCATCTGTCAAATAGCATTTGAAAAAAAAAAAAATTCTCATGAAAGCTACTTGTTATCAGTTTGGGATAACATCCAAGTCTTGAAGGAACGTTTTTGTTTCCCCTAATATTCTCTTGTGGGGTTCAAAGGGATGGTTGACTTGTGTTAGTCAAAAATATAGCCTGGGATGTGTGTGGTGGGTGGTGGGTAGAGAAATCTCTTTAGGGATAAGAAACAAAGACGATCAAAAAGCTGAGTTTTCTTTCTTCCTTCTGATCCATCAACATTTTGTTTCACAGATGGATCTCAACTCTTCCTGAGCTTGAGGTCCTACAGATGTGCTTGCTGGGTATTCTTGAAGATTCATAGCTAAAAAGAGAGAGAGAGGGATCCAAACCAAATCAGGTAGAAACATGTTTTCCTGAAATTCTGATCCAGTTGAGGGTTAATTAAAAGGAGTTAAAACATGGATGGCCACAAGTGAGACAAAGGATAATGTCATCATGTAAATATCATGACTTTGATATCAAGATTAGAGGAGGAGGAGGAGGAGGAGGAGGAGGAGGAGGAGGAGGAGGAGGAGGAGGAGGAGGAGGAGGAGGGGGAGGAGGAGGAGGGGGGGGGGGGGGAGGAGGAGGAGGAGGAGGAGGAGGAGGAGGAGGAGGAGGAGGAAAAAAAAGAATTAGGGGTGACATAATAGCAGTATTCCAGTATTTGAGGGGCTGCCACAAAGAAGAGGGAGTCAAGCTATTCTTCAAAGCACCAGAGGGCAGGACAAGAAACAATGGTTGGAAACTGGTCAAAGAGAGAAGCAACCTGGAATTAAGGAGAAACTTCCTAACAGTGAGGACAATTAACCAGTGGAACAGCTTGCCACCAGAAATCATAGGTGCTCCATCACTGGAGGTTTTTAAGAAGAGACTAAGACAGTCACTTGTGTGAGATGGTATGGGTTCTCCTGCTTGAGCAGTGGGTGGACTAGAAGACCTCCAAGGACCCTTCCAACTATTCTATTCTATTTTCAATTCTATTCTATTATTCAAT